CCAGCAATAAAGACAATTAATAAGGATTAATTCACCAGAATATATGCAAATGTTGATGGTATACTGGTCAGGGGTAATGAACAACAATTATGAAATTAGTTGGACCATTCAGACATCAACACTCTAAATATTTTGTCTACGAGGGCTTTTCAGATCAATCATTTTGTTACAAAAACACAGAAATAAAATCTTAATACTTGGATGTTGTTTCGAGCGTAACTGGTTGCTCATAGTAATATGAATATGACCACGTGACCTCGTAGTTTACTTTATATAGCCTTACTTCCCACACTTCCTAATACAGTTTTCCATAAATTCCGGATAGGTGTTGTGTCATTTTGACTGCAAGCATTTGGTGTTGATTCGAGGGACAAACAGTCGGTGATTAACTTCTCTCTTCACCTTATTACATTACTTAACACCATATCACATGTTATGGTTAACCCAGACTTATATGGAGTTACATCATGCCAATTTAACAAACTTCCACTCTTATAACAATTGTCACTTATATTACTTGACGCACACACAACATTCAAGCAGGGCATAAGTTAGTACCCAGTCGAATTAGATTGTAGAACTGCTTTACCCTTTTATGGGAATTACTAAAATAAAATTACTTTATGCAACTGTTCCTCTTGATAATAATAACGAACTCTTCTGTCTTTCTGTATAACTTTCACTACATTTTCGTTTTCGAAATTTTATTCTGTACTTATAAAATGCAATAATTATTCAGTTAAAGTTCTATGAGGCTTATGAAAACTCTAGGAAATAAAAAGAATTCATTGTGTCCTGCAAAAGCTGTTATTATTGTGTTGTTAGAGAAATAAAGTTATCTAATATTATCCTGTTTAATGTTCTGTTCTTCTTTTGTTCATGTCTATTAAGGGAAAAATTATGTGGAGACTGTTTACGATATTCTGCCTAACTATGACAGGAAATTCTCTTCTTCACAAGCCTAAAAACTCAGATGGAACAAATACCTTTGTACATTATGTTTCCTGCTGGAACAAAGGAAACTGTTATACGCTGATGGAGAATAAACATTGCAACCAGTTTTCGAGAAAGGGGATGTAGTAATTTATTGTACTTGAAATATTAATATACCGGGATGACGGAATTATAGGAATCTAATCAAAACCCAGAGAGGGCAGCAATCAGTAATTTGTATTTAGCGGAATTAGAATGCAATTCATATAAGAAACATATCAACAGTCAACAGTAAGTATTTAAACAATACAGAGATAGAAATTGTCAATCACCACATCCGCCACACCTCGAATATCTCCTCGCGTATTTATAACGATGTCTCGGTTTGCTTGCAAGTAGCTTCGAGCTAACTGATTCTGTGATATTATTTTCATCAGTACTATCTGGACTTATTTCTGAATTATCTACAAAATCAGGATTATTAGCGGAATCAATAATATTATAATTGGAACGACCTACTTCATTTATTGTCACTTTGTCCAGGTGTCCGTTATGAACTGAGTGATCTTTGATGTCTAATATCTTCACCACTCGATTTCCCATTTTTTGTAGTATAATTCCAACAGAAGGTCTGTAGTTATTATCTTTGTAATAATGTACATTAGAAGTAGTGGACATCAGATGCTTTTTGAGAATTCGAGATTTGAATAGTTTTGCAGGACTTTCACAAGAACTTGTATGCTCTGGATTCACCAGACGTAGTCTATGCATATGCAGTAATTCCTCAATTTTATTCAGTTGCTCTCTCATCTCATTCAGGTCTTTTCGTGCTTTCGACAGTTCACATTGCAACTTAGCTACCTCATTTTTGAATACAGTTGATACTTGCGTTGCTGAACTTGCAGTGGAGGTTTTCGTTGGATTAGCTTGAGTATTTTGAAAAGTTGAAAGACACATAGACTCCATTTTACTAGACAGCTTGGGAGAATTATAAGAATGTTGAGCAACATAAGTATTCGAACTTCTGCAAACCGTCTTGATGTGTCCAACTTTACCACATTTATAGCACTTAGCACCCCGAAAACGGCAAGTGCTTCGTAGATGTAACTTTCCACAGGATAAACACGGTTTAATGTTTTTGATCTCTGGCTGCATTCTATTACCTGTGGACGGCAGTTTGGATTTCTTTCCATGAACACTTGTATTTTCGACTTTGGACAGCATGACATCAGATACTGACGTAGTGGGAGCAGAGTATTCATTATTGACATCTTCATATGTAATACATACATCTTTAGCAGTTTGAAACGTACAAGAAGGAATCTGAATTAACTCCTTCTCTAATTTAGGAATGTTGATTCCAGCAATTAGACGATCACGTAGTTGTGTATGCAGCTGATCTCCAAAATTACACTTTGAGGCTTGAATTTGAAGTTGAAGAATGAAGTCTCTAATCTTCTGATTGGGAGAACGTACCAGTTTGTTGAAGTGAGCCCTCTCTCTGGTCTCAAATGTAGTCACATGAAAGTGATTTGTCAGAAGCTCACGGATCTTGTCATATGACATAGAAATGGGTTTATCTGGAAATGCCAGATTCTTCACCAGGCTATATGCATCAAGCCCAATAGCGGTGATGAAATGAGCAGGTATTTTATCATCCCGAACATTCTTGGAAATGCACCACGCATCAAAGCATTCCAAATAATCAGCAATCTCCCGCGGAGAACCATTAAGAGGAAATTTTCCCAGGTTACTTAGCTCCATCGCGACGCCAATTTGTAGTAATTTATTGTACTTGAAATATTAATATACCGGGATGACGGAATTATAGGAATCTAATCAAAACCCAGAGAGGGCAGCAATCAGTAATTTGTATTTAGCGGAATTAGAATGCAATTCATATGAGAAACATATCAACAGTCAACAGTAAGTATTTAAACAATACAGAGATAGAAATTGTCAATCATCACAGGGGAGTTGAGTGAACAAATGGAATTCTAATTAATGAGAGAGTCATTAAAAGAAGGATATATTTAGGCCAGGACAGTAAGGAACATGCTGACACGAATGTATTGATCTACCATCCACAACTCACTTATAGGAAGTTATTTTTTGACCCAATCTTTCTACATATGTATAACCTGTTCATGAACTTGTCGAGGAGCTTCTTATCTGTCCAAATCCCTGTAATTTAATGATATCATGTGTAACGAGCAAACCCGAATTGTTGTTGTCTGAACACAGGGAATCGATCTTTGCGTCCTACCGTATAGCTGACCAAAACTTCCATGAGTTACGCTCAGTTGTTCATAGTAAGATCTGTGGTTATATTCCACAATCATAGTAAATCAAAAGGCCAAATTA